GGACCTACCCTTCGAATTGCGGGTGTAATGTTTCCGCAGTGAGTATTCAAGATGCAGCAGTGAACGGAGTCGTGCGAATGCAAAACTAGTTCCGGGATATCTTTTAATTCCTGGATAGATTTATTGTTCAGTCATGGGTAAACCTTCAAATTCAATTGTAGATAGTACGGCTGTAAGTTTCCCAAATGTGAAACAAGTTATGGATATAATATTCTTTTCTGTAACCAAAATAATGTTATAGACGGCGATAAGACGTACCCTCGGGTGACACGCAGGCGACACGGGGTGACACACGGCGACACGAGGTGACACGCAGGTGACACAGGGTGAGACGCTAAAACTACTGTTGTTCGCACGCAGGTGGCACGGGGTGACACGGGGTGACACGGGGACAACACGGCGTGACACGGGGGTGTGACACGCGGGTGATGCGGGGTGACACGAGGTGACACGGGGTGACACGGGGACGGCACGGCGGCGACACGCGGTGAGACACGGGGGTGACACGCAAGTGATGCGGGGTGACACGGGGGTGACGGGGGTGACACGCAGGTGACACGGGGTGAGGCGCTTGCTGCACTTGCTGCCACCCCTTGATTGCTACCACCCCTGCTGTGGCACCCTGCGGTAAGCAGTAGATAGCAGTAGTTGGAATATGGGCATCCCGCAAACGCAAGTCTCTTGGATCCATGATCCTTGACTGAACGTGTGTTAATATAGGGGGGCCCCGACAATGTGGCTTCCCTTCGGCTTCCCGTTAAACAGGGTACCCTCAGAAAGCACAGGAACACACAAACACGACACCAGGCTCTGGAGAAGGACAAAGTGAGACCACGATTCGCCCAAGGCTCTCGAAAAGCACAAAGAAGCTGACCCAGGCTGCCACCATACCAATGTAGATGAGAACCGCCGCACAAAGGTTGCGGAGATGAGGGGCGCAGCGCCTTTGCCCCGCGGAGAAAAGCAAAGGCTTGGCTTTCTGCTGATGGGAAGAGACACACACACAGAGAGCTTTCCCAGAAAGTGACAAGGTCAAAGCACAACTAATGCACCATGCGCCAACAAGCTTGACTTTTGCCGGATTAGTAGGAAACCTACGGATCTCGCCGAATAGAAGTTAGAAAGACCCGACCAAAAAGCAAAATGTATCAGGTGACGTTTTGCTCCCAAGGGACTTATATAGGGACCCGGATAAATCGGCCGAGGGGCCGGTTGCGTCGAGTCGCCATGGCTGCTTCCAGCCTCTGCAAGTTTTGCTCCAGCCTCTTGTTGGCCAAGTCCACGATGAGCTGGCACAAATCATTCACCACCTGAAGACATGCTGCGCAAAAACCGGCTCTTTTTTCCTCTTTTAGGGTGCCCCCCAAGAAAGGTTGCTTTTTCGAGAAACCCCACTTTTTCACTTTTTTTGCCATTGGGGGTGGGGTGGGAGGGGGGCGGGGGTGGTGGTCCGGATTCCCTCATTTCGAGACAACTCGATTGAAAGGCTCCATTCGGGCCTTGCTGCTTGTTCCTTCCAAACATTGATGTTTCTGATCTGTTTTGCAGTGTGTGAAATATGTCACCCGCACAGGACCGCTTTTTAATTATCCTAAGCCTCCAGCGGATTTCTACTTCAGGGGACCTGTTGTTGGATAGGAAGTCTCCCAGGAAAAAGGGCAGCACTGGAGGTCTTTCTTGGGCTGTCCTCAGATGCCCTGCTAAAAGCTTCACTTGTGGGTTAAATGGAAGCCCCAAACACTAAAGCCAAAAGCGTAAGGGGATGGCTTGGAACCACCAAGTGTCTGCTTCTTTCTTTTCAACACGGATGCATTTCGGGTCGTACACCTGTTTGAGGTTGTTGCTTTGTCAGGAAACCAAATGGACAACACCATACTTTTTGGATGCTACCCACTGTGGATGGCAAAATCCGCTTCGCACCAGTTGGGACGGACGAAACACTATGGGTATTGGGATAAAACACCAACTAATGCAGGAAATTGTCCACTGAAATAATTTTGACACAAACTCACATGGGCGTTTGGGACTGGCCTTTGAAACAAGTAGGGTTCCCACGAGCACATACACAGTCATGAAGGCTTTCCCCGCATTGTCGCTCACAGTGACATCCCCGTATCCTCACTTGTAAGGACTTGAAAACAAGAGCTCTGCCATTTGCGAGCCTTGACGAAACGTAGACCAACACAAAACTCGAACATGAACAGTGATAAACAAACAAAAAAACATGACTAAACCTAACGAAGCCATGACTAAACCTTAAGAAAGAAAGAAAACAACACATGACTAAACCTAACAGTTTTGGAACCATGACTAAGCCTAAAAACTCCCAAAGCAATACCAACACGTGAGATCAAAAGGTTGATTTGCAGAAAAAGTATCCAATGGTCGTAATGATCTGGACCATCACGTAGGCGGCTGTGGAGGCACGGAACTCATGAAGGAGGGTCAAGTTCCAAATGCCCAGAAGAAAATACAGCAGCAGCAGACCCAAATTGGTCCA